CAAAAATCTCAGCATTGACTCTTCAAACCAAAGCAAAGGCAGGATTCCCTCTGCAGGGGCAGAGCTGCGGATCTGTTTGAATAGCATCCTTTCTCTCGATGGCAGCTTGTACATGCTGACGCAGGATAATGCAAGGGACCTTCTGTTGTTCTACAGCATAGTAAAGTAGATGTGGATGGAGACTTCCTTCCAGCTCGTTATTGAAAGTCCACAAAGGTTTTTATTCCAGGAGTAAAAAAAATCTCACTTCAGAGGTTTTTTTGGTTTTTTTTGTTATCTCTTGGGCTTTCCCCATTTTAAGGACACTTCTTGAAAACACATACCACAATTTTTGCTTTTGATCAAGCACCCTCCTGTTTCAGTCATGGCACTCCATTACCTTGCCAAGTTCTCCCATCTCTCAGCTCTCGTGCTTTCAACCTGTGTCTGCTTTTTGCTTCAGTTCAGGCTTTTGTGCTTAACTGGGCAGCACTGTATGCAGCTGGTATGTAGCCCATGATTATGTGGACTCTAGCAGTTATTTTCAATCAGATTTTCTTGCTGTTGGGGGTGTTTGCTGGTTCACTGCTTACTCAGTCCAAGTTTCCAGTGCTCATCTTTGTGCTCACTTGCAAATGCTCAAAGCCATTCTTATTGATGGCTGACAGCAGTTAGAATATCCCATGTTGCTGTAGGATTGGCAGAGTGTTTAGTCCATGGGTGGAGCAAATTACAGTTCTGTCTTGGTTTGTTACGGCTGGGTTGTGGCAGCCAGAGCTTTGTACCTGGAGCAGAAAGGTTCCCACAGTGCACTAGCAGTCATCTGCTCCTCTTCTTTTGTGTTCAAGAGTATCTTTGTGCAAGTCCTCTCCCTGTCCTGTTCTTTTTCCATGTGTTTCAGCCTTGCAGGAAGGTTGCTTTGTAAGGAAATGAGTGCTGTTCCTGTGGGCACCTTTTGAAAAAAACCCCTGTGTGACTCTTGCCCGTTGTGCCACTGACAGCTGAGCCTGATCCAAGGGAGAAGTCAGCTTTTCTAGCTGTCCTCTTGCCACTGGAGCATTGCTTCCAGAGCTCTGCTTGGTGTGAACTTTAACTCTTCATTCATGTAATTCATCAACTTTAATACTTCATTTAATGACTCCCCTGGGAAAGTTTTACTAATACTTCTTGCTGCCAGGCAGCCTTTTCCTGATAGCCTTGCCAATATTTTCCTTTAGTGCTGGTTCTGTTAGTCCTGGCTTCAGCTCCTGATGTGTTACTGTTTTCTTAATGCTTCTGCCTTTCATTTGTTAAAAGATCCTGGAGCCTTTTGATGGATGAGGCTGTAAATCATGACAGGGCCAGGGGTTCCCTTTTGTTTGACCACTGGGAGGTTAAATAGGAAAAGTTCAGTCAAAACTGGGGTATTCTGGCTGTCACTTTCCTTCCAGGAGTTAAAACTTCTTGGGGACCATGTTTTTTTCGGCTGTGGCACATCAATAAATAGAGCCATGAGGCTAAAAATGCCAAATTAAGGTAGTTTAGGGAATACTTTTTTGCATGGAAGTTATGCTGAACTTGCCTTTTTTTCTTGCACCTGCACTCTTAGCTTGAAAAGCATTTGATGTAATAAACCAAAAAAAACCAGGGACGTATCGAGCAGCTTGCCATCCTGGAGAGCATGCTTCATGGAGGAGGAGAATTGGCAGCAGCATGTCTTGTTTGATGGTGTGACTGTATCTGAATGTGGCTGTGGTATATTTGGAGGAAATAATTTGAAACATTTGAGCTGTGACTTGTCTGAGGGGCAGGGAATACTGAGGTTCTTGCATGTGTCTGTTGGATGCCCTCTGCACTTGACCCATCAAAAATGGGCTTCCTCTGCCTGTGAAGTATCACAGAATCCCAGACTGGCAGGGGTTGGAAGGGACCTCCAGAGATCACCCAGTCCAACCCTCCTGCTCAAGCAGGGTCACCCAGAGCAGGGTGCACAGGACAGCATCCAGGTGGGGCTTGAATATCTCCAGAGAAGGAGACTCCACAGCCCCCCTGGGCAGCCTGTTCCAGTGCTCTGTCACCCTCACAGTAAAGAAGTTCTTCCCCACGTTCAACTGGAACCTCTTCTGCTTCACTTTGTGCCCATTGCCCCTTGTCCTGTCACTGGGCACCACTGGGAAGAGTCTGGCTCCATCCTTGTGACACCCACCCTTAAGATATTTGTATGTGTTGATGAGATCCCCTCTCAGCCTTCTCTTCTCCAGGCTGAACAAGCCCAGCTCCCTCAGCCTTTCCTCATAGGGGAGATGCTCCAGTCCCCTCATCAGCTTAGTTGCCCTCCTCTGGACTCTGTCTAGGAGTTCCTCATCTTGAACCAGGGAGCCCAGAACAAGTATGTGCTGCTTGTGTCTGTTGTGCTGCCTGTATGGCAATAAAAGGGAAGAAGTTTTTTTTGCCTTCACTTGTAGAGGAGGTGATCCTAAACCCTTACACATGAGATGCAATTGAAGCAATAGCAGTAGCAAAAAAAAACCAAACCCAAACCTCCTGTGCTGAGCCTTGTGGTACCAAGAAATTGGAGTGTGTTCCTAGGCTTTCTCATCTGTGAGTTCTCTTGTTTGTGAACACAGACCAGAGGATGACTCTTCAGATTTTCAGCAGTGAAGTATTTCAAGGGCATGAAAGCTGGCTCTTGTCACTACCTGCTTGATTTGTTATGGAAAGACAGTAATTTGCCTCTGATTTACTGCAGGGCTTTCTGCTAAATCACCAGAACTTGAGAAATTTGCTCTGTGCAAAGTTAACTTTGTTCTCGCCACTCAAACTCTAAATAATGGATATGAAAGGTTTATTAAGCAAATAAGTAAAACTCCCAGGGCTGTGAATTCCATTTCCCACAAGAAATATCAGAAGCCAATCACTTGCCAAACTGAACAAGTCAGGTATTGCAGTTCAGAGAAAAACAAATGATTATTTTGTTTACAGGCTTTCATATTAGGATGAGGGGGGAAAAAATATCATCTCTGAGGGGAAAAATGATTATTGAAATAAATGTATTTCTGCCCTGCCTGTAAGGCAATTTTATTTGTTCTTCTCATGTTTAGGCGCTTTTCTTGGATATTGCAGTAACGGGCACAACAGGCAGGTAGAAGTGCAAAGCCTTTAAATTCGGAAGGACTTTTTCTGTATCTGAAGGCTGTCTTAGATGGGATGTCTCATTAGTCTTAAGTTAATGGCTGCATTTTTAATATTATGATGTGCTCCATAATGCATATTTAGTTCTTCTGGGAGAATTAACCTAGCATGAGATTGTAGAGTGGACACATCCTGGCCTACCTGCTCGTAAATCCTGCACAGCGTTTTGCTTTAAGTAGCCAATGGATCTGTGCGAAGGCAGTGCCCTTCCTCCTTTTCTCTGTAACTGGATGGTGGGGCCTACTTCTGGGTTAAACGATAGCTTGTGGGAGGAGACGTTCTTTATTTAAGACTTAAAATCTTCATCTTTTAACTATTATCTCATTTCCTTTCTTCCTTATGGATGAGGCTTTTCCAGCAATATTAATATTTTACTGGTGAAGCATCTTGCTGATAAATGAAGATCAAGTCTCAAGAAATGAGCTTTTAAACCCAACACATGACAAGTACTTAACAGAGCTAGCCTTTTGGGGAAGTCTTGAAATGTTATGGAAACCAATGTGTAATAACCTCTGTCCCTAAATGTTCTATTTTCCTCTTCCCTTCTCAAGTGCTTAATAGGGACTCTGGTTTGCCCTTGCACCTCTAAGTCTGTGGCGTTTTTTAAATTTTTCTTTTTTGCTTCTGAGGCACCTTTATCTTTGGAAATTTTGCTCAGGTACAAAAGAAATGTGTCTGTGTGTCTAGGCACGGCTGGATTACTTTCCCTGCTAGCAAAGAACACGGTTTGGCAAGTCAAGAGCACTGGTTTCCTTAGCGATGCTAACAGTTGGTGGGCAGACTCAGCCTGGAAGCATTTGTATGAACTCCTTGATGTCTTTGGCACAAAAGAGGGTTAGAAGTGAAATAGCCTCAACTTTGTGAAAACAAGATGTCCTCTATTGGATTTTGTTTTGTTGTTTATCCAGAACTCCTTTAATATTTCAGAAAGGCCATAAAGGACTGACAGATTACAAGTTGCATGAGATATCAAAGTAATTATTTACACTTTCATGCCTCTTTGTGTAGACATGAACAATAAATACCCATAAAGTCTCAGAAGTGGCACTTACACAGTGAGGGATTCAGAATTTTTGATGTGCTAGGGTTTGCTGCTTCTGCTTGTAACTTTATGCTAATACGTGATAGTCCTGCAGTTGGTTTTAAATAAGCTCTGAGGGCTTAACTGTGTCTACAAAGCAGCGTCTGCTGGAAGCCAGGCTTCGATGGGATGCTACGGCTCGTGCCGAGCTGACTGCGGGCAGGGGGAGCAGTCTTTTCTTGCAGGGCCTTTGGTGATCGCTTAATTTTGGTGGTGCACAGGGCTGCTGCAATAGGTGACTTGTGGAGAGCATAGCTTCTACTCTGTAAACTCTTGGGCCATCTGACTTCTTGTAGTGATGTGGCTTTCTTCCCTGACCTGCCCCTGATAGCTGGGGATGATAGCTGCTTGTCACTCCAATGGTGTGTCAGGCACAAAATGGTTTGTTCCCTCTGGTTTGCGTTCTGTGGAGAGATGAGGTTATTGTGCAATTGTGAAACACTTGGGTTTAAATCCTGGAGTCCCTCTCGCTCTCAAATGAGATGCATGTACCTTGTTTCTTAAAATGTCCTGGAGAATTTTATTGCTTAGTGGCACAAATCTTGTGTTGTGTGTGTGGTTTTGGTTTTGTTTTAATTTACTGTCCTAAATTGAGGAAGAGCCAGTGTCTCATGAGAAGAATAGAGTGCAGGATTACACGAATGCAAGAATTTGTGTGTGGGTACTTGTGTCAGTTTTAAGTTGAGCAGGTCTGCAGCTGAACTGTGTCACAATGTTTGAAATGTGATGCTTGAATCCAAATGGTTGTAATTCACTGTCTTTTAAACAGAGAGAATGGGAGCACGAGGAAGGCGATGTTGGAACGAGCTTGACTGGAGAGACCACTGGGTGGAAGGAGGAGGGTGCAAAGAGAGAGATGATTACCCCGGCTCTGAGAGAAGCGCTCACAAAACAAGGTGAGATCCTGCAAAGATGAGGTGGTAGACCAGGCTTTGAAGTCTTAGTAGTAGACTTTTAATAGAGCAAGTGAAAGGTGGTGTTCTTTATGCTAAAGATACTGCTCTGGACCCTCAGTCATGAGGCTCTAACTAGAGGCGGAACAGAGGTCAGGCAGGAGCTGTTTGTACCTCCCTGTTGCAGGGGAAGAAGCTAAAGCCAGGTAAATGCATCTCAACGTGATGCCCACTATAACGCATGGCGAATGTATCAGAGTCTGCAGGGTTTAATGTATCCCCTAAGGCAGCTTGAGAGAGAGAACGATAGTCCCAGGTGTGTCTAGCTCCCAGAGTGTAGGTTTCTCCAAGAATATATAAATATAAGCTTTGCATCTCTGTTTTGCATCTTAGTCCCCTGCTTTTATTTCAGTTTCAAACCCTGACTTTATTACTGAAACTTTATTTCCAGAAAAGGAAGTAGTTCAAACTAACTCTAACAGTCCGCTAGGTGATTAGATCAGTAGTTGTCCTATGAGCTGCAGAGAACAGTTTTAATTAACTTAATGTCTTTTTTAAAACAAAGGGCAAGCATGAGGAAAGCTGGGCTGACAACCTTGCAGTTCAGAAGCCTCAGTTCTGAGCAGCAGAGCCAGGAGAAGGGTGATGTGCACTCTCCCATGTTGCTCAGTTAGAGACTAAAGGGAGTTCAGCCTCATTTCTTTTATCTCAAGATGAGAGCGTGCTTGGTTTTCTTGCCTGCTAAATTGATAGTGTCTCTCCTGATGATTCTGTGAAGGCACTTCTGGTTATTGCAGCGGAGGCTCCTCACTAAGGAGCTGGGCTCTGAAGTTCTGACCATGTTCTGTGTGAGTCCAGCAGCTGTGAGATTCCAACACCTTTGCTCCCCAGGATCTCAGCTGTTCCTTGGCCTGAGCTTTTGTAGGTGACTGGTGTTGCCTTCTGCCCATCAGCTGTGTTTGGTCATTGGGTTTTCTCATTAACCTTAGCACAGCTATAAGATAAAGAGCCGTTCTTTAAATCTATAGTCTGAAGGAATAAAGCAAAGGCTTAGCAAGGAGTGGCAGTGACTTTGCCTCCTCTTCATATCCCTAGTGGTGCTGCTGCTGGCTGGGACCAGTGAGGGGATGGCAGGAGGTTGGTTCAATACATCTTTTCAGCTTCGACTCTGAAGGCTGTAATGTGGTGGCAGTTACACTGCAGTGTGCTGCAGAGCAGCTGGAGCACTGTTACAGCCTTTTATTTTTATTTATTTGTTTATTTAGTTACTATAGTCTGTGCTTGATCCAGAAGTCTGATTGTTCTGCCTGCCTGTGAGGGTGTCTGGAGGGCAGGTGGATTTGGCTAGCAGGACTAGGGAAGTGGGCTGCTGTAGGCCTGGCTGTCTAGAAACGGGCAGCGGGGAGATGAGCATGCTTGTCTGCTGCAAGTCCCCTGATTGAGAGGTTGAAGGGGCCACTGACTCTTTGGAAGGGTGGACCGAGTCCCCCTGACATCTCAGGTTTTGCTTTGGGACCCAGGAACCCTAGAAGAGCTGTGAGAGCCTGTGGCACTGACTTCTGAGAGGGCAGTAGTAAGTGGTTCTTGGCACGCTGTCATGGCTCTTGGGTGCGGGGCTGTGTTGTGCCATGGTAGTCGCAGGGGTGTTTTGCACTGGCTCACTTTCACACCTGGTCTGTAAGGGTTTGGGGATTGAAGGAAATGGTGCCTTTCCAGTGGTATAAAAAGAGTGATCATTTGAAAAATGAAAACAGCGCTGGAGGGAAGGTCACCTTCCTACCATAACTTTTTGTGACATAAAGGCAAACTCTTCAGAGAACTTGGATTTCCTTGTGATGTACCAGGGACAGGAATTCAGTAGCTAGATAATTAAGTATGTAGTTCTCCCTTCCTTCAGCACACGGGGTAGTGCCAGTGTTGGATCAACTAGTAGGATCCACTTAAATCTGCAGCTTTGTGCCTGTATCCTGCCTCTTGCTGGCCCAGCCTGCCCCTCCTCTCCTCTGCTACTCCCACCATTCTTTAATGGTCACTCAGCAGTGAAGAAGAGAAGCTGCCTTTCTTTTTCACATGTCACATAACATTTTTTTCTGCAAATAACAAACCAAGACAGGCTTATGTGGCTATAAAAATAAAACTGCTCCCTCCTTCCCCCAGCACCATTCCCCCCAAAATAACAAGTGCAATGTAGTCAAAAGATAATCTAATTTATTTTTCAATGACTGGTTGCTTTGGGTGTAGGTTCAGTGTCTTTTCAAGATTATCCCTGAGGGCATAATTAGCTCAAGAGAAGGAAAAAAACAGTACCAGCGATTCAGGAGAAAGTGGTTCTTTTAACTTGTAACTGCATAAAGGAAGTTTGCCTTTGAACAACAGCTCTTCAGACTATTGCAATGCTTGCTCTTTTTATTTTGATTCACCTTCAGACAAATTTACCTTCATGTTGATAAACTGAATATTGCTCAAATGATGCTTTTAGTGTAGCACTGGTGTTGAATTTTGGCTAAATATAGCTTTACCTGCTGGGTTGTATAGGTGTTAGCTCTTGTAGTTGCCTGGTTGCAAACACCTTTATAAAGGATGCTCTGTAATAGTTGCTTTTTAAAGTCATAGCCCATCTTGTGTTGTGGGAAAATGCTGATTCCCTTTCCATTGCTGTTCAGGCTTGCATAAAAAAACCAAATATAGCACAAACTATTTAGTGCCTCCAAGTAACAAATACAGCTGGGGAGAGAGAGGCTGACAGTTGAAGTGTTTGGCTCTGTTATATTTGCAGTGGTACCATTTTGCTGTGTTAATGCTTCAGTAGTTTCATCTGTTTAGGTAGATGTCATGAAATAAACTGAAAATAGAAACAAATTTTTGATGCTCATGCTTCCTGTGGTGGTTAGTACATATAGCCTAACATGTTCGCATTTGCTTTCTGCAGTTGCTTGTAGATTCTTGAAGCCATCCCTCCTGGGCTGAAAGGTTTTTTTGCTTGGACTGGGTGCCAGAAGGATTTTGTACATGGTGAAGTTTGCCTTTCTGGAGCTCCTGATCATTGGGCCCTTCGTTCATTTTTTGGGAAGCGCATTTAAATCCTCCTTTAGCTTTAGAGGGAGTCTCAAGCTGCTGTTCTAATAGGAAAGATGACTGTAAAAAAACCCAGTGTGAACCCACAGTGAATCCTTCAGTGTCGCCTGTATCAGCTGTGCTTATTTTATGGGTACAAAAATACTGACTGTCTCTTACATTTCCCTGCTGCTATAAAGTCAGTACAGCAATAGTGCAAAGACCTGTGCTCTGTTTAGGCTGTTAACCATTGTTACTCTTCACTGCTCTTTGATTTGCCAAATGTTTTATTGATAGTGATGGTCAGACTGAAAGCCAAACAAATTGTCATGCCGGATACAAAAGCAGAGGCTGGCAGTTAGGGGAATCGTGGCTCTACTGCAGCTAACTTCTCGAAATATTTGGAGGTCAGACATGATGTCGCATGGTGACAGCCAGTTTCATCATCCCTATCAAGTTACAGTCATATCTAGTAGTGCTTCAGGTTGTCCTTGATAAGCTTCTCTTAAATATTGCAGGAATAAAACAGAATAAAAACAAACTAAAGACCCGAAGAGCTGATTGTTTGCTTGGAGATTCCAAGGACCTGGATTTTCTTAAGCTGCTCATACCGTGTATTTCTGACATGCTCTTTGCTTTGTTCTTTTCTCCTGTAGCACTGCTAAATACGGCTGTGCCTTTTGTGGTAGGCAACACAATGGGAGTGGATTAATGACCCCATTGACATTGTGCGAGTTGTTCTGCTGTGTCTCTGCTACCACAGGTACAGTTTTGCTGCAGTCCAGTTGGATTGTTCTGCCTTTACTGGTTATGTGAGTCTACAGTGTAGCGCCAGGGTGCCCAGGGTACCTCTGTTTTACTTGTATCCAAAGGGAAGTGGTATTAGGAGGCAGTTGGTATCTGAAATAGTATGGGCTGCTTCAGTAACAGCTTGTTTCCATGCTTTGACTTCATGGTTGATATAAAGATGTGCTCTGATCTATATTTTTCAGTGTGTATGGGCAGTCAGGAGGCTGACTTCAGAAAAACATTGAAGATCGGGCTTTTCCAAGTGCTTACCAAACCTGTTTGAGATTAGGTTTTTAAAAGTACTTGGTGGCTTTTGCTGTCCGTTCTTGGACTGACGTTTCCAGTGCTTACTGCTTCTGACCATCTCAGCTTGGCTCACTCTACTGAGTGTTTTGAGTGTCTGGACTCTGGAAATGAGATCCACTGTGCAAAGACACTGCACGGAGGCTGGTGGTGCTGGATGTACAACTCTCACAGGCTGTGCGCTAAAACATTTGCATGCATCTTTGGGATTCAGTGTGCTTTATGTATAGCTATTAAACTCCAGGTGGCACTAGCGGCTCACAGCTGGGTCAGGGATTAGTAACACTGGTGCAGTCCCTGAAATGTACCATGGAATTTAAATATTGGCCATGGGAAGATTAAAAATTTGCATAATAGAAAATTATTCTTAGTAAGCAGAATAAATAGAATGACGGAATGCAGACAAAGCTAAGCCTACTAAACTTCCTTGCAGTTCCTTAGAAAATGTTGGTGTAAAGCAAATACACAGTTAAAGGGGAAGAATCCAGGAAGCAGAAGATGCTGAAGCCCCACAGTGTGGAAGCTGCCAAGAGCTGGTGGTGAGCTGACCGCAATACTAATTTGCTGGTGCAGATGTAGCAGCTTCTCAGGAGCAGAGTAGATGGTGAAAGCTTGGTTTTGTGGGCCAGATTCTTCCCTTGTGTAGTTACTGCAGCTGGTGGATTTACCCCATGTATAACAGGAAAATAAGTGTAAATGCATTTATATTAGAAGTGTGTCTGTGGGGTTCTTTTTTAGGTTTTGGAAGGGCTTTAGAGAGTATTGGTCTTTGAAATTAAGCCTATTAAGCTGGAACAAAATACAAGATACATTCAGGGAAGGATAAAATTTGCTGTCTTTTTTTTTATAACACAGCA